ACGAGCTGCTCGAGTGGAACGCGTTCCAGCCGTGGATAGATGACGTGTTGAGAAGGACGCGCAGAGAAGGAAGATATTTCCGTATCGGTGCGTTCCACAGTGACCAGGCGGAAGTCCATATATTGACCCAGATTTTAAAGAACTGGTGGATGAGGCGTGGAACACGGCGAGAGGGACTTTTAAAAGAAGACAGAAGACATAGGACTTTTATTGATGTGATTTTATTTGATTGTACCATTTGTTTTACTGCTATTTCTCCTGATGAAGTCTATTGTATCGATGAAACGCGTAGAGCTGTGTTGATTACCGCCTGCGATTCCTGTTACCTGCTTCTTCCATTTACCACTCTGGAGAGAGGAATAAAGATTTTTGATGGGCATTTTTATCTTCCACTTCTTTTCTCCTTTTTTTTTGCATGTACCCTTGAGCATTAAGAAATTATATTGCAAGACCTAAAGAAACCTTGATGGCTTGAATTACTCCTTCATTCTGTGAGTGCAATATTTATTGCAGGGATATCTCTACTAAACGGTGTTTCCCTATGAATGTTCTCTGCTTTTGTTTTTTCTAGTTTTATTCTATAGTATTTCTCATTCTCTCCCTTCTTAATCTGATAGCCCTGTGCAGCCTGTTACTAGTTTTGTTACTAGTTTGGGGTATGCTGAATCTCATATAGATTCTTACGTATTTTGACGTATCCATGATGTATCACTGCACTTCAAAAATAAAAATTTACAACAATAAAAAAATTGTATAGTCTTTACATGTGTTGATTTAGCCTTACAATCAGAGGGACAGCGTAGATGGGGGCTGGAGGGTTGGTGCATGGGGGTGGGGTTTAAACTGTGCTCTCCACCAGGCAACCATAACTATGGTAATCTCAGAGGAATATATGGGAAATCAGCAAATGAATGCCTAAAAAGATAATAATCGTGATTATTCTCTTTTTAGGCATTCATTTGCTGATTTCCCATATATTCCTCTGAGACTGCTAAAAAGCGACAATTTATTTCCACAAGCGCTACATTCTTTCTTTATTTAGGTATTTTATCGTTTGAGTTGTTGGAAAGCACCATACGAATGTTTAGCAGCTAGTTTGAAGTTGTTCCTAACAGATTGTGTATATTATAATTGTATGAAATAAGCGCTGGTTCCTATCTATAGAATTTATAACTATGGTAATGCCACTGCCTAGTCACACACACTACAGTCCCTAGCCACAGATATTACCCACAGACACATCACAACTGAAACTGACCTAGTGTAAAAAAAACACCACAATCAGTTCATTCTAAAAAACACACGCAATCCCACAAGCTGCCTCCAAACACATGCACAATACACTTTCCTTGTAATTTAGTCCTCTAATATTACACTTATGGAGACATCAGAGACAAGTCACAAGTAAAATCAGTGCAAGCATGTCATTACATTTATTTGCACTGCGCAGAACAAACACAGGGTGTTTTTCACACGCGTGGGCTCTAAAGTAGGGCTCTGCGCATGGGCTGCCCTGGAAAAGCATTGAACCAAAATGCTCATTTTGAGGAGGGGCTTGCTTGTTATTGGTGATAACTCAACACCCACCTTCTCTAGCCCTGCCCCCTTCCCATTGGGCCGCTGTGATAAAAAAATGCCCCAATTTTTTTTGCAGACCAGCCCAGCAGGCATGCATTTCCACACACATGTTTACCCCTTAATTCATACACCACACAAAAATATTACTTCCTTGCATTTACACATAAGCGATATATTTAAAAAGTGCATGTACATTGCATGGTGGCGAGCACATTTTAGGCCTGGCTAGCAGCTCAGGAGATTACATTTTGGGCCCTGTATATGCTCATGTAATTTAATACATAGAAGGACTAGAAAGGTGATCGATCCCCTCCTCCCAGTTTGAATGCGGGGATCATGGACAGCAGCCTCACACTTCTATTGTAGACAGAGGTGTGTTGATATGCCTGTTGGCACAGTACTGCAGAAGTGAGATAGCAGACAGGGTGTGCGCAGGGCCTTTGTTATCCCAG